ACAACAAATCCCCGCTCTAGGCTACATCAAAAGTGAACCATGTCCTCCCCTCGTATCGTCTCAATATTTGCCGCAACAGGCCTGCAAGGTATGCACTGTCCCTGTTCTATTCTCGGGTGGGACTTACTTACTTGGAGAATCGAGGCGCGGCCGTCGCGCGCACCCTCCCCAAGGACGGCACCTTCACCCCTCGCGCAATCACGCGTAACCCCAACTCCGACGCCGCGCTCAAGTTGAAGGCGGAGGGCACCGAGGCTGTTAAGGCCGATCCCCTCGACCGGGCCTCCCTCACCGACGCACTGCGCGGCAGCGAGGCGGTCTTCGCGGTGCGTCCTTTGAACGAACACATTTTATCCTTCAAGCGAGACTGATCTAGGTAAATGATTTAGGTGACTGCGATGATTTTCCCGGTTTCAGCAGAGGGCCTGGACGAGCTCGTACAGGGTATCAAATCAATATGGTGGACGCCGCGAAGGAGGCGGGCGTGAAATTCTTCATCTTCAGGTACGCCCTTCTTTATCTCGCTCTCTGGCTCTCTTCTTTAAAGCCGTCGAGAATTCAAACTCACCTGCATTTGTATTTGTAGCTCGCTGCCGAGTCTGGCTAAATCCACAGGGGGCAAACACAAGAATGCGCTGCACTACGAGCGTACGTGCCCCATTCCCCTTTGACGGTAACCTCACGTGTTCCCTAACACAGAAAAGGCCGAAGTGGAAGACTACCTCCGCGCCTCCGTACTTCACGGCGTCCGGCGAAGCGCCCTTCACGTGGATCGAGCTCGACGTCCCCCTCGTGACGCTCGCGCTGCTCAAGATTTTTTTTAATTTTCAATCACACCGACGCGTCGAAGGGCCCGGGTATATTGGGGAAGGTGTACACCGTGCTCAGTGAAACCACGACGTATGAGAAGTTGGCGGAGATGACGGGTAAAGGTGCGGTTCCGGTTCTATTCTTGATGTTCCTTAGTGGGATCCTTAACTAAACCCGAACGACATCACGAAAAGCGGGGGGAGATGGTAATGGTATGCATACCTTTGCAAAGTAAACAATGTCCACAATTCGGTACAAACCCGTACCAGCTTGGTGAAAGTTCACCTGACATTATACCGGACCTCCGATCTCGCAATGATCACCAAGGTGATGGAGATTGTAATGCTTGGTGAGACTTTGCAATGCATTTTGGAGGATTGCAAAACTACGCCAAAGGTTGCATTCCTCCCAATAGCCAGACCAGATACATATGCACACACGATACGAGGATAGAAAGCAATGTATGCATTGGAAACGGAGAGGGACAAAGAATGTACAGCAACGTACATGAAGTGAACTAACCGTGGCATACCAAACGCAAACGCGTACAGAAATCAAAGAGAGTAAGTGAGGCCGTTTGCAAGGGGGCTTGAGAGGAGGTTTCGGCTCCGGAGCTTGAAGAGCCGAAAGCTGAAGGAGCGCTTGAAGACACTTGGGGAGGCTCTTGAGCTCTGTCTGCACGGGGTAAAGGCTGATGCATTTGGCAAAGTTTACATCGGACTTGGAGTAGATCTGGACGGGGCGTTGGGGAGCGGTGGGGGGCTTGGGTACTGGAATTGCGGGAGAAACTTGCGAGGGAAAAGTTGGGGTCTTGATTGAGTCCCCGCTTGACAGCATGCATCGGGGAAGGGGTAGAGACGCCGGGAGGCAGAGACCGACGTGAAGGAAAGGCCAGTGGTGAAAGTCGTACTTGCGTACTGCTAGTATTGCTCCATGTCTTTCTTCGCACTCCGTCTTCGGCGCTTCGCACTCTTGCGGTGTCGTCCTGCGCGTTCTTAAATCCAAGGTACAGTGGAGGATAGGCAGGAAAAGGAAGGCAGGAGGTGCTGTCCCAGACAAATGGACGGGTGAGCGGGAGAGGGAGATGGGGGGAAGAAGCAAGAATGCGTGATGCACCGAGCAACATGCACGTGATTATGTAGCACGACCAAACAATGCGCACGGACCTTTCGGTTTGATCCGACCTCTCTTGATCTCTCCCTTCGAGTCCCTTCGACGATTCAGCTCGACTATTGTGATACGATGGATGATGAGTCAAGGCCAGAAATTGTGGTGATTTTATACGGTCCGACGGCGTGGTACTTCAAGTCTGTAAGCCGCAAGCCAACCGCAAGCGTAAGTATAGTAACTACTCATTGATTACTCTTCGTACTAAGAGACTTCTGACGACCCAGCGGCGGCGATTGAATGTATGCCAAGATCTCGCCGATGATGAATAATGGCTACAACAGCGGCAGTGACTCACCCGGGCGAGGCAGTTCACCAAGCATTACAAACCGCTACCATGGTGCTGCGAGATTGGCAATCCTCCACCATTCTGGTGAGCCATTATAATGCTTGGTGAACCATTGCCAATGCACCACCTACCTTTGCAAACCCGCATCACCTTGATCCCGTTTCACCTGACATCAACAGAATCCCCCGGTTTTCGTGATGGACTCAGTTCTTGGCGTCAAGGTTGGCTTCGCCACCGGTCCGTCCACAGGGGACCGCGCGGTTGACGAGATGGTGAGTTTCCTCTATGCATGGTTTTTGGCCTCGAGCTAACGCCGTTTTACGAACACAGTTCCAAGCGCACGCGGAGCACAACATGTACGCCGACACCCCTGTGCCGGATCCCGAGCTCGTCGCGTGGGTGTAAAGTTCGGGACGATCCAGGAGTTCCTTGAGAAGGAGTTGAAGCCGCGGTTTGGGTAGGGATAGGAAGAGGCTGCAAACACGAATGAGGTATCTTTCGTCCCATACTCTGGTTTTGTTTCCCGTATTCGATCAAGCTGTCGATCTGTTGATACGAATTCTTGCAGAGGCTGAGGGAAAACCGAGCGTGAAACAAAGTGTGTTTGGCAACATCGGGATCGGTTCACTAATTCGCTGTAAACTAAAACAATTATAGTGCGATGGGGTGGAAGTTGAGCATGAACTCATACCATCGGGAGTGATTAATCTATTCCGATTCCCGCCGCTTTCCATGCCTGGGTCAATGGTATTTGTTTGAACCTCGACGTGTCGTGCTACCCACCTATATGCTGCGTCTGTACATATGTACCTACCAGTCCATGATGTCGCATTTAGTCGTAGAATAGACTTCATCAACAGCGCGAGGAGGCGGATGCTCCAATACGCTCCTCCGTCCCTCCATTTTCGCCAACCACTCTCCGAGCACCTGGCTGGAGAAGCTGAGATACCTCGAGGAGTAATTGGGGCAATCATATTTGCCCATCCATAGCATGTCCATGTTCACCGTATCAAGTCTCTTGGTCGGGGTATCGACAAGCACCCACATTACGCCCTCGAGGTCCGAACCAAAGCAATCAATGTCGATAGGCTGCTCGCTGACCGCATATGTCAGAAAGGCCAGGTTGGGACAATCCTCGGTGATTGTTTCCGGGAGAAAGAACCACAACGCCGACCCAGGACCTTTGAGATCTGGGGGAGCGTACATGGTGATATCCTTGAGTGTTAGAGGATGCTGCAAGTTGTCCAATGTTAAAGGGGGGACTCCGTACGCCCCGTCCCAGATGAGATAAAGGCTTTCGATTTTAAGGCGACCGCATTCGGAAGAAAAGTCCTCCCAGAGGTGCCAGCTTATGCCGAGATGTTGGACACCATCTGAAGCCCGGAGAAGGCGTCGAATCAGTGTCGACTGTTCGTTTGAGAGGCGACCGCGAGTTGACGGTAGATCAATGGCGAGGATTCGGATAAGATTCGCATTCGGTAAAAAGAGCTCGCTGATTCTTTTCGTCCAGTCGTCGCGGAGGGCAACGACGACCGTACGAAGTATTCTGTGCTTCGTCCTACAGATCGATGGTCAGCTCACAATGGGAGGGAAGAAGTGATGCCACGGACCAGGCACGAAAGCGCATGGCCACGAGGGACATCGTGCCCCACATTTCGACTCCATTGTCCAAGAGCATCTCAGTTATGAGGCGTTCAATATCCTCCGGAAACATAGGTTCGACTTCAGGTGCCATGTAATGGGTGAGTGGGTGCAAGGTGGGTGCCAGACAGATGCGTGGTAGTCACGTATCTGATTTGGTGGTGTTTCTGACGGGTCTCCAAGCCCAGCCTTGGAGTGACGGCGTTAAACACAGCCGCGTTGATAACGGGTATTTCGGTATGGGAATCCACTCTGCCTGGGAGAAACGAGCCGAGTTGCTTTTGTGGCAGCGAATGCGGTCAAGATCCAGTCACCGCCGACTTGCCGCCAACTCGAGGAAGAGAAGAGCCGGTGGGGAGGATATACAGACGACAGATATTGAATCCGTCGAAGAAACACCGGCAGCGAGGGGAATGCGAGGGTTGTGCGAGGGGAGAATCTGTTCTATCATGATTAGGGCGCTGATTATTATCCCGGTATGTAAACATGTTTATAAACACCTGTTTATAAACCGGTTTTCAAATGGTCCGGGCGAAATGGCCGGTTTACAATTATGTCAGCTGGGCAAGTCTTGCCAATTTTTGCACCAACCGACCGACCTCTGAGGCCCTTGAGGGACATTTTAGAGTTCAACCAGAGCGAAGAAGAGGGACAGAATCATTAATCACCTTGAAAATCCCCCCGTCGACCGGTTTCAGCCTACATTTCGCTTCATCAAAATCCTGGTTTCACGCACAAGGTTCGCTGATCCACATGGTAGGTCAGTATTCGGAGTTCTAGCAGCAGAAAGAGATGTGAGTGAGAATTACCGGCCAAATCTCTGGTGCGCAGCTCAAAACTCACCTATGGAGGGCCGAAACCATATTTTGGGGTGCTGGTTTACAAACAGTTTGTAAACAGCCCTGTTTTTAATACCGGTTTGTAAACACGTTTTTAACTCCTGGGGAATTATAAACAGCGCCCTAAATTCATGATGGTGCGGAGAGAGAGAGGTGATGATGATTGTATTGTGACTAAATTGTGACGACCCGATTGCGGCTGTGATTGCTAAAAGCGTCGTCCCTAAGTCCACCAGTGGAAATCGTAACCCATCGACCCCTTAGCTCAGCGGTAGAGCGTCGCATTCCAGTTTCTTGCGATCCTGATTATATCGCGAAGGCCGTCCGTTCAATCCGGGCAGGGGTCATTTTTTTTCTGCTTTTTTGCTTTTTGCCCACTGCTCTCACTGCGCCCATGCGCGACTTCGATTCAAGACTTCGACTTTTCTCCCATCCACTGCATCCCGGTCAATGCAATTCGCGGAACTCAAAATGTTGCCACCATCTGACACCTCCTGAAAAAATGACCAGTTTGCAAAGCTGATCAAGTTGATGATTCCCTGGTCGACTTCCACTTATAAAATTCAAGCTGTCAATGCTCGCAAGTTCAAACACCGCCCAAGATTCGAGCGCCGGCGCTCTTCCAGTATACAAGCGGTAGTCTGAAGAAAAAACATTCCACCCTCCGTGCTCGATCATGCTGCCCCCGCCACTGCCCAATCATGTTGCAGCTCGAGCAACGGGATCTCGTTGAGCCGATGTCCGAACACCGTGGGTCCAACGGTGTCAGCACCATGAGTCGTGGAAGTGAGGCTGCCATCTCCGGCTTCAGTCGTTCGCACACTCGGTGCGGGTGTGGTTTGCAGTGCCGCTTCGGAATTGCCTTCAAGCTGGGTCAACTCTTCCAAATCTTCGGCGTCGGTGACAGTCTGTTTTTCGTCGGCGCCCTCAATATCCACCAGGCGCTCCCGAATAAAGGCAACAATCCCCGCCGATTCGGACCCGGGTTGACCGCCCTCCGTCTGCAGCGCGGGAAAGTCCTCGTGCCATTGGCGGGTGAGCCTGCGACGTTGAAACAGATGCGCGATGCCCAAGGCGGACAGTGGCCGCCGTCCTCCACGACATACATATGGTTAGCCCGGGTGCTCGCTAACGGAAGACACTGTTATTTAGCGCTCACCGAATGCAAAGTACATGAAATTCGCGCCGAAGAATAGCAGAAATACACCATTGATGAATGTCCATATACCACCGACTGTGGATATTCCGTCTAACGGCGTGGCGGCGCCATCTTGGAGGAATTTAGTTGGCCAGATGTCCCGTGGGACGAGTAGCAACCTGGATGAAAGTGGCCCGGGATTGTTCACGTTGTTCACATTTTGCAGCGCGTTGAGCTCCATGTTCATCACCGTTCGGAATGGCTGGTTGGAATTTTAGATTGACGACACAGATGGAGGCCGCTGAGGAAGATACGCACGGTAAACGGTCCTAATAGAAGTGAGGAGCTCGTTGTAATTATCCGCCGCCTCGTCCAGGTCAGATACGCGAACAGGTGAGAGCCAGGAAGGATGGGGATTGGATCGGTGAACGTCGCCAGGTCGTTGAGGTTTCCCTGACCAGGGATAACATGGACGATGGACTCTCTGTCTCCAGGGGCAAACGTGAGGGTAAATGTGATATTATCGATGAATATCCAAGGCCACGGACCTGACCGCGGTCAGTGAAACTATGTAAAGGAATGAAGGACATACATTCTGCAACCGCCATGATATGATCATGGACCTGACCCTCCCCTACGAAATCGGTGGATACCGGACGATCGTCCCACGGACATACCACGGCGACGGGCCCGATGTACGCCGTAACGTTCGCTCTTATGGTTCGATTTGAATTAACCTGTGGCAAGTGTTCCGCCGACATGAACAAATAACTCTTCAAACAAAATGCGACAACGCACTGCGAAGCTGTATATTATCGTAGCGTTGCCCTCCAGCAAATCCAGTTCTGGGTCGCTCCACATCCGAGAGAAAATAGTGGTCCTGACTTGTGCCTGCAGCGGGATCCAGATGATCGAGTAGATGGCAAAGAGGGGGATTGCGACCACGATGGCGCTCAGGATTAGAGCACGTAAAATGATGATGCCCATAAACTCTCCCCTGAAGGGGATCAGCTACTGAAAATCCACCGCACTGAGGACATGATAGCACGGACCTGACAAGGGGCCTCGCCAACGAGCGATTGATCAGAATCCTCCAGGTAGTATACGGCGGGCTTGCAGTTGGGCATCCGCCGAGGAAAAGCATTTTTTGGCGCCAGAATCTGGTAGGTGATGCCCAAATAGTCGCCGCGCGGAAGATTGCCGCGGCTACGAGCGGAATCAGGAGCAAGAGAATGTATGAATAGATTCCGAAGCCCGAAACAAGACCCGAATAAGCAACAACTGGTGAAGGGGATAAGTCGTGTCACAACCAGTAAATATCGAGACTTACGAATAATCTCCAGTACAGTGACGGACAGGTCCAAGGCGGCCACTGGCAATCGGCTTGAAACAAGGCTGAGTTCCTGTGAATGAGAAAAGGATTCGTAAGACTTATCTACCACATACGCTGCCAAGTGGTGGACGAATATCAGGCCGCTCGTTCCACCTGACATGAAATCCCGCAGAGTTACAGCCCAGAAGGCGGATACGACAGCTCCAGCAACGACGAGGCGGAAGGTGTAGACCCTGGCGGCCGGGTTGAAGAGGATGGTGGAGAACGGCATGGGTGGGAGACAGAGGGAGAGCTGGACAGCCCTTACTACTACCAAGGAAGATAGAGCCGCTGAAAAACCGAAGCGACCGGTCATTCATCATGCCCGTGCGCTTCTAAATTCGAAACCAAACGAAGCAAACGCAATGTGCAACCGAAGCCGTCTCTACTTGGTAGTCGATTACGGGCTCTAGTGATGTTCTGGCTTTCGCTTCATGGCTTTGAGTCAGACTGAAGACGCAACGGGGAGGTCAAGCAGAGTTCCACTTGAGACGTGTACAGCCCAAGTCAATCGTAGTACAGGATCACAAGTTAGGACAATACCTTTTGGACGGTGGGTGTAGAAGATGAAGGCAAAGAGCAAAGTGACGGAGGCGGCGTGACTCGATCATGGATCGGATGGTTTCGGACCGATGTCCATTTCGCACTGCCACCCCCTCTTTCCCTAGAGTTCGCATTGTCGCGCGGAATCAAAAGAGGTATTGCTCCACGCCACCCGTATGGATGGGAAATTGTTGCGAGAAAACTACCAGATTTTCGGCTCCTAGTCCCCTTTATCGAGGCAATTCGGTTTCATTCCAGGTTTTACCTTTTCACCTGATTTGAAAGGCTCGGTCACGGTGTTTGTTGGAGCCAAAAAGAATTGCAAAAAATGCGCCGAAAAAGGAAAGAGGAAGAAAGAAAGAAAGAAGGAGAAAGAGAGATTTCAGGCCTCCTCTCCCGCGCACAATTCGGAGAAAAATCTGTGTGGCACCCATCACAATCCCGAAAATCGGGCGCTGCGTGGCACAATTATACAAAGGCTGCCGACTCCGTGGATTGCAGTTTTTCGAGGGTCAACGGTTGAAAATGGGCTTAAACATGATCTGGGTATACAAGAGAAGCACCATATCGATAGACGATTGTATCCAACCCCCGGCATGCACACTGTGATGCCGCAAAAATGTGCCAAGGTTGTGTCAAAGCCAGAAAGGCACACAAGCCGGAGGGTGGCTTTGAACAGCCGGAGCCCGTACACAAGAATCTCTGATCCTTCTAACAGTGACTGCAATGATGTGAAGGAGAATATCGGGATTTGGAAACATCCAACTGTGATGAAACTGCGTGCAAAATTCCAAGAGAGGTATTGATGTAGCTGATCACATAGGCACTGTATCTGCAAAGTCCTAGCACTTCAAAAGAACATATTTTGAACCATAGGATGTGTCATTACTGTCCTGGCATTTTCCGCTGTGGTCTTTGTGTCACCGACCAGAAGTATGCTTGCATGAACGTTGCATTAATGTGATTGATCCAGGAAACGACCACAAGCCCAAAATATTCTCTGTATGGCTCAAGGTAAGCTGCAGGTGAGGAATTAATTCATTGCCTGGTTTTACTTTAGAGAAGCTCCGCAACTTTGCCCCCTTAGAATGAATATGTCAGTGTAAGTATACATCTCAGTACACCTTGCCAATGCCGGCGAGTGCTGCAGCTTCTGCTCTACACAAATTGTTCTGTGACTTATCAGACACCCGTGCAATCTTTTGACGCGTCAGAACACGTCGGAACACGTAGTATCGACACAAGGAACAGTGAATCAAACCGTGTGAATCTCAAGTGCAACCTTGCACGTGCGTGATTATTCCCTTTTCTGTCTTCACTCGAACCCCATTTGGTTTCACCCAAAAGGAGTGAAACCGTTTTCGGTTTCACTCTTTTAAGGAAATTTTGATGCAACTAACACCAGAACCGCGCCATTTGATGAAAAGGATCGGCAACAACATCGAAACGTCGATGTTCAAACGAATAGTGGCAGCCATTTCACACGTCCACATTGAACGCCCATTGTATAGTTGGCTTGAGCGTTATGCACACACACACGCTACGGGCACTCAGATCCGGACAGCGCCGGCGGCGCCTCGGAAATGGTAGGCTTAACTTAAAGTGGTCCCACTGGATAACTCCGCCGCGGGCGAGCTATCTATACGTACGCAGTTCCGCACCTATCGCGATCTCGAGGTATAAAGCTCCTCTATGCATCCTCATCCTCACTACGCATCGCACGAGCCTACCACTCACGCATAATGGTTCGTTTTCCCGCTACCAAGTTTTTTTGAACGCGCCCTGACGCTCTCGAATCTAGGGCTCAGTAGTCAGCGCAATCGGCCGCGCAATCAACTCAATCGTGTCCGCCATCGCTGGCGTGATAGAGACTATCGTTGGAGCCATTACGACCGTGCGTGAACGGTTTTCATCCTGCGTCTTTGCACTGAACTCTTCGTTAAATGTCCACACAGGTTATCGTGACGATATTCGATGTCATTGCCGATATTATATGCTGCCGTTGTTGCTCGCGCCGCAGCGGGCTCCGCAGAAGGGGCGGAGCCATGTAGACGTCGTGCGCTGTCCGGGTCACCACGTGGTATACGACGGACTGTGATGTTCTACGGAGTATTAATCTCGAATATGGTGGTTACCATTTACGATGGAGTAAAACTCAGATTATGATACCGTCATCGGCTAGTACACGGACGCCCTTATGCACTTTGGGGCTCGGAACCACTATCTGGCGCATTGGCTTGGGATGCCTTGGCTTTCGCCGCCTTGTCTGCCTCTGCCTTGGTTTCTGCTGCCAG